TTTATAATCCAAAATATCTAATATGTCCAATTAGAGCGAATAGTTAATAATTGTTTATAAAACATAAAAACAAACACCCTTGAAAATATTTGTAGAATATGACACAAAAAATCAAGAAGTCTTAATATTAAAAATGTTAAGACATGCAATTAAAATCACGTAATTAATTAGACACAATGTTCCTCCCACCTAAGTTTCATTTATCATGTGATTGAAATTGAATGTCTTAATATTTTAAATATCAAGATATTTTAATTTTTACTATTCTATTTGAAAAAGAGGAAACCCACATATGGACTTAAGCTATATTTAATATAGTTGTAATTTGTAGTTTTAGTTTAAAAAATTTTGTAACTATTAAAAAATAAAATTAAAGTAACAAAATTTATTTAAAACAAGTTTTAACACTACCAATAAAAATTGTAAATGTGTTTAATAGTATTAAAACTATTTTGTAATTATTCATCTAATAATCATAATAATACTTTTAAAATTCCACATAAAAGTAAATGAGTTTTTCATTTAAAGTGGTAAAATTGAGGATGAAAATGTTAATAATGAAAAGTTCAGTGAACGTGCACGAGATTTACCCAAATACTAGTACCCCGTAGGCCGTAAGGCCCGTAACGATTATCGGCCGATAATCGAGAGATGAATGACGCAAGATCTAGCGAAACACTGTAAGTCTCGAGAGGTATATCGGACGACTTCGCACGGGGATACAGTTAAGTCAGAATTTCTAAATCTTTAAGTAAACAATCTCTCTGTTCTAGGAAATGTCCAGCAGCTTTACCAATTCCCCTTCTTTTATTTCAATGGCGCCCCAGTCCTTAATTCATTGACTCACACTTCTCACCCTCCAAATCTTTAATCTTTTTCCAACCTAACCCACGATTCTTTTTAACTCAGTCAGCAGAGAAAACTCAATGGAGAATTCACGAAATCCTAATTTCAATGGAATCGGCTGTGAAGATGAGCACTACATGCGATTTGTAAATCGTAAGTGTTACCCTTTACTCGATTCATAAGTAATGTTTTTGGTGAATATAATTTAGCTGCTGCTTGAATGTAAAATGGTAGATCTTGTCACTTTTGGTTCTTTGGTTCGACAAATTTCATTTACATTTTTCTATGCTTAATCTATGGCAGCAAGGTTTTTAACCCATCAGCGGACGACTATGTCAGAGCAAAATCACCTGGCGAACAATGGGACTGTAGTCGAATCAGAGTACACAAGAAGACAAT